TCAACATTCTTACCAGGCAGCTGCTCAAGCTACGCAAATGAGCAATTCGCGGACATTAACACCCGCGCATATGTGAGTTTTGATTCATTCAGCAATCATGTGGCCATCCTATTTGACGGACTTTTTTTTTATTTGTTTTTTCAAAACAGCCTCGGTTTTCAGGAAACAAGCAATGATGGCGAATCCACACTTCCACTTTCTCGCAGACATCTTCAAAGAAGTTGCGGTCCCCGGTCGTATGGGTACGGAATTTGATCCCTCGCTTGCCCGACAACAAATGCAGTTGCTACAGGTCTGTTGGCTTTCATAATGAGGGTTACATTTCAACAGTTTGCAGTAAATTCCTTAGTTGTATAAAGATCATATGCGTAAGCTATTTTTTGTTTGCTCAGAGAAAGTGGGAACAGCAAAACTGTCTTCTTACCAGATCACACCGTACTCTGCTTATTTATATTCATAAAATCTTGCCGAACTTACATGCCGGCTATTGAAGCTTGCCTCCTGCGATCACTTTTCTAATAGTGCAGAATGAATGGAGCGGATCATTGTGGCTAATAGTGAGATTACAGGATGTCTGTCTAACAGTTTTTTAGTTTCGCCATTGATTCCTTAACTCAGTACTATTCGAGCCAGCTCCAAAACTATAGAGCAATTAGAGGTTACGATACACTCTATTTCTAGCTCTCAAATATACAGATGTTGCTATCTATCCATTATGGTGCATGTAAGGGAGCTCTCGATTCATTTGCAACCAGTCTAGCACTGTCTCCGCAGTATTGCACTGATCGACCGCGTCGTACCTGTTTTGGTACTGCGAGCTCTCCGGTATGTCACATCACATAGTGCGAGCTGGTATAGCTCTGGTATGCTGTAGTCTTACGTAAAGCATACCAGAGTTTCAGCGCTGTATTTGATTCATTGGCCATGCAATCGATGACTGTCAGCAAACTCATTTGGATGATGGCTCTGATTTATTTACATCGTTGTGACCTTTAAGCACTTTCATAACAGTGGCAAACATTTATCCGATATTGGGAAGCGCTTATTTGGGATTCGGACGACTGTATAGATTCAGCAGTCGACTGCATAAAGGGCTAGGTATCACAAATCGCTTACAATTATTTCTTGCTCTTATGTTTATGTTTGAATCCGTAGACCTTACCTGTATCACTCTGAGCGCGAATTTGCAAGTCATTTACCAAGTACTCCTATGGCTCCTCTCGCGAGGCGCTCAGGACTTCATCTTTTGGGATCTCTATGCCCTGCAAATACAGTATCGGTCAAATAGCAAGATTTAGTTTGAAAATCACGTTGCCATCAACATAATCGTAGCCCCACCACTCAGTTTTGCCTCAGAGTTGCAAAATGCGGTGTTTTTCGATAGAAATATCGGAATTGCCTGCACCAGGTCAGCCTTGGACCTATCTTATACCACACACTTCAGGCTTTGATGCTCGATGAATTATGGCACTTTTAAGCAGTTCCAGATGTGCACAGCACTTTCAAGCAGACATGTGGTCTTATCTTTCTTCTTCTTTCTCTATCTTGTTTATGAAGATGTCCTACCCTTATACAATCGAGCACATTTTCCGCTACAGTGTACTCGCACTACAGATGAAATGCGGTAAAATTTGCG